TCCCGCCGGCGCAGGGTAGCAGGAAACTCTCCGCACACTCACCGGACCTGGGCTAGCTCATTACAATTTTTGACATCATTCTCATTGGACACGAAAGTGATGGCCAGGCCTCTGGTACCAAAGTGACCTGCACGGGCAACCCAGTGCAGATAAGTGTCTGAGTCTTCAGGCATGTTGTAGTTGAAGATGATGTTGACAGGTTCAGTGTCCATCCCTTGTCCAAACAGAGTAGTGGCCATCAGATCTGCTGCTGAAAGTCCTTCCCTTGAACTGCTGGTGTCGTGATAGGCCCTCCTATGTGCTATGCCATGGTGAATGGCGGTGGACAGGAAGCTCTGCTCCACCAGGAGCTGGGCCAGGGCCATGCAACATGCAACATGGTACTGACCTCACAAAGATCACCACCTCGTTAAATTCTAATATATCCCGGAGGTCGAAGAGCTTGCGGTTCTTCTCACTGTCCTTGAGCTTCACATAGTACTGCTGCAGGCCGTGCAGTGACTTGAGCTTGGTCTCATCATCTACAAACACCTCCATGGGATCTTGCATGAACTTCCTGCAGCCTGGCTGGATCTCCTTGCTTAGAGTGGTGCTGAATATCACTCACTGCTTCTCATGGGGTGTCAGTCGGATGATCTCCTGTATGTCCTGCCTCATGTCTAGCTGCTCCAGCATCTTGTCACATTCGTCAAGTACAAAGTGCTTCATGTTCTTCAGGTTGAGGGTCCTGCTTCGCATGAGTGCCAGGATCTGGCCTGGGGTTCCCACCACGATGTGAGGACAGTTTCTCTTCTGCACTTCCTCATCCTTCTTGATGGAGAGGGCTCCAAAGAACACGGATACCTTGACACTGGGCATGTACTTGGAGAAATGCTCATATTCCTTGCTGATCTGGAAGGCCAGTTCACCTGTGTGACACACTACCAGAACTGCCAACTGGCCGTTGTCAGGCTCAATTTGCTGTAGGGTGGCCAGCACGAAGACCACTGTCCTGCCCATTCCAGTCTTGGCCTGGTACAGGACATCCATGCCCAGGATGGATGCACTAATGCTAAACCTCGGAGGAGTGCTCAAAGCCGCAGTCCACGATGGTCCTCAGGAGCTCTGGCCTAAGCAGGAAGTCCCAAAAGCCAGAGCTGTGGTTGGAGACATAAGAGCCCTTCACGTCTTTCTTTGGGAGTACGGGAGTACTCTCAGCAGGAGCCTGGGGCTCTTCATCTTCCTCATAATCCAGGAGCTCATTTTCCACATCTTGTTCTGCCCCAGGCTTGGTTTCTCATTCACCTCTGCGTGCTCTTTTTCTCCTTAATTTTTTATTTTTTATTTTATTTTTTTGCAGAACCAGGGATTGAACTCAGGCCCTTGTGCTTGCCAGGCAAATGCTTATTCTACTGAGCCATCTCCCCAGCCCCTAATTTTTTAATATAATTTTTGACCAATTTGGTATGCATATATCTGTAATCTGAACAACTAATTTGAAGACAACATGCAATATAGCAACCATTGTTGTATTGCTGTCATTTTATTTAATGAAATGCTGTATCATTTCTAATACTTTTTAAAAACCATTTTTAAATTTCCTTTAAAAAATAAAATACAAGTGGAAAGCTCTAGTACTTCAAATGTCCCTGAGCAGATCAATAAGGGATAAGCTGGGTTTAGAGGGAATCTGATCCATCTACACTGCCCCATGGAGATTCCTAAGGCCCACTATTCATTTAAAAACTAATGGAACATCACCTACCTCAGATGTAAGATAGAGTTTGTGTAAGCTCTCACTACACACAAACATAGAGGCATGCTGTGAGCTGGAAGTTCTGTGGACCCTTCCCCCTCCCAAATGTGAGAAGGACCCTGGGCCTCTTCCTCTGGGACCTGTTCTGGCAGTGCTGGGTCTCTGCAGCCATCATGCACACTTGGCCATTGGCCACCTTCCTAGCCCCAAGTATCACATAAGACTTGGCAGATCTGTACCCTGGGTTGTGTAGCCCTTCAGGCCACCAAGATTAGTATATCAGATGGTGAGGCCTTTGAGAATGTTCGTTTGTGAGCCTGGGGTAATGTGAGGAGGAAATTATGATGTAGATCTAGTCATGGAAAGATTAGCATTTAGAGATGTACTAAGGGACAGATTCAAAGTCACACAGCAAATTCTAACTCTCACCTCCTAGCAACACAAGAGAGGCTAAGGAAGTAACATGCCAGGGTTTCCGGGTGGCATTCAGGGCCCATGGGTTGGGCAGAAGGTCTTTGTTTGGCTCTCAGTGGCAGGTTCCTCTGCCACCAGGGGGCGGTGCCTCTTCATGCACCCCAGCTGGCTCAGCTTCCCTATTCGCAGGAAGTCCCTGTGGGTCAGGGCCCTCTGGCAGCCAGACAGGAAGCTGGTCTGGGATCAGTAGCTCAAGGCTCAGTGGTTGCCAGCAGTGCTGTGCTCTGCTGATCTCTGAGTGCTTCCCCCAGTCCAGTTGCTGTGCTAGGTGGGAGACTGTACTCTTGTCCATCAGGGAGACTGAGGCCCAAAGGAAGGGAGAGACATGTTCAAGGTCAGATCTGAGGTCCTGGGCTGGATGTGCAGAATGTAGGGCTGTGAGATAAAATGTAGCTTATCTGGTTACATTTGGATGCTAGATAAGCCATGGATAGTTTTTAGACTATCTCAAATGTTGCATGGAGCATAATGCTGACTTTAAAAATGCTTTGTTTATCTGAACCTCCAATTGCCTGGGCCTTTCTTTTTATTTACTCAATCTGGCAACTGTGGCTGGACAGAAACAGAAGGCCCCAGCTCCTGAGCCCTACTGTGCACACTCTCTACCTCTTGGCTCCTAAAGTGGCCCTCCAAGAAAGCTCAGGTTTCATTGCTTCACCAGATCTGGGGAAGGAAGAGCCTCTTCTAGCCCCGGAACACAGGACAGTGTGTGTGCTCTGAGCTGGGCTGGGACACTGGGAGTCAGACGGGCAGCCCCAGGAAGACCCCGTCTTGCAGCTAGCCGTTCCCCGCTCTTTCTTTCCCTTTCCTCCCTCTCCTCCCCCTTCTTCCCTTCCTCTTTTTCTGCCTCCTTCCTACCCTGCTACCTTCTCCTACCTGGCTCCCTCTGCTCTTGGTTTCATTTGCACATGGCCTCCTCTTCTCTCAGCAGCCCTGGGACTCTTCCCCAGAGCCACCCTTGAGCACTGATGGTTGTATCAGATTCTCCAGAGTAACAGAACCAACAAGACATATGTGTACACAAGTGTGATCCAAAGCTGCTGTGGATGTTTCAGGTAAAAAGGGAAGTAAAATATAAAACAGAATCCCCTCAGGATACGACCCCTGGCTTCAAACATGCTGGTCGCAGCCTTCTTGGCACTCTCTGAAGTGGTTCTGGGAGTCATCTTTCCTGAGTGCCTTTAGTTGCTCTGTCCTGCTTCCCTCTGTGTCCTGAATTGACTTTCATGGTCATTTTTACTTCGGGCAAGAGCCAGGTTGCATGGTGCCCGATCTGAGGAGCAAGGTGGTGGAGGACACTGTGATGCTTTTGCAGCTTGCCTCTGGTTGAATGGCACTTGGCAGCAGCATTCATCATGGTTTTGATCAGTCAGGAAAGGAGACTTCCAGACTGCTTCAGAAAGTGGCAAGAATGCTAAATAAGTGTGTTGGAGGAGAGAGTGAGTACTGGGAGCGAGTAGCAGCAAAGTGTCCTTTACTACAATGCATACTTCACGTATTTAGACATTTACCATAGATTTTGTGTGTATCTGGACATGCATAAACATGTAGAGAGGCGTGACCACATGCTTGAAGGTGGAGTGCAGACTGGAAAGCTGGACACTCAGACAGGAGTTGGCAATGCAGCCCTGAGGTAGAATTCCCCTTCCTCAGGGAAACCTCAGCCTTTGCTTCTAAAACTTTCATGGGTAGAAGCCTGCTGTATTGTTGAGGGGGAGGTGCTTTCCTCAAAGTCAACTGGTCATATGTGCTAACTACAACCACAAAATATTGTCACAGCAATTCCTAGACTAGTGTGCAAGGGGCTTGCTGGGTCCTGGAGCCCGGCCAAGCTGACACCGGAACACAATCCTCTCAGCAGTCAACTAAGGGAAGCTGAGAGGGAGCTGAACCCTAGCCAGTGAGTGCAGGGCCCACGTCTTGTCCTTCTTTCCCTTGGTTCCCATTGCCTTTCTATCAAGCTGACTCTGATAAGAGTGAGGCCAGCTCCCCTCTGCCTTGGGGGTCTTTGGCTTGGAAGAAGCGGGATGTGAATCTCCAATTGCCTGGGCTTTTTTTTAATTTACTCAATCTGGCAACTGTGGCTGGACAGAAACAGAAGGCCCCAGCTCCTGAGCCCTACTGTGCACACTCTCTACCTCTTGGCTCCTAAGGTGGCCCTCCAAGAAAGCTCAGGTTTCATTGCTTCACCAGATCTGGGGAAGGAAGAGCCTCTTCTAGCCCCAGGACGCAGGACAGTGTGTGTTCTACAGAGAAGTCCCTTGATGGGGTGGGGGTGGTCTGGATTATGGGCCGGAGCTGGGCTTTGCAGACAGCAGCCTGGGACCTGACCCTGCCTTGGTCATGGACTCTCTGGCTCTGCACCAGTCACTGCCTCTCTCTACAAGTGATGGAAGTGGGCTCCACCTGGCCTCTGCCCAGCTGAATCAAGGGAGGATTGTTAGCCATGATGATTCTCACGGGCAAAGGCTCAGCCTTGTATCTCTTCTAAGTTGCTTACAGAGCAGCAGGGGAGAAGCCTACTGTCCCCGCCAAGTAGATACAGCAGGAACAGGAGGTGCCGAGTCCAAGGCCTGAGGCCAGAGAAGTCTTGCCCCACCTCCACCATTGGGTATATCTTCTTTGCGCTCAAACCACAAGAGAGGAGAGTGTGCAAGTGTCTCCTCTGTGCCCAGCACCTGACAGATTCTTAGCCGAACCATCCCACTGAGCAAGCGGCCGTGATGGCAACAGGCCCACCCGGCATCAAGGAGGAGATAGAAATGTGCCTCAAAGAAGAACTGATGTCTGGAAATCCCGGGCAGCACCAAGAGCAGCTGCTGATAGCTGGTGAGGAGCTGTACTGTGCCCCTGGGCTCTGTCTACACATGTGCTGGAGAAGGCATGAGCCAGTGGGGGGGGGGTATGGGTCTGCATGCATCATCCCTGTGTGTATGTGTCTGGGCCTGGGAGTAGTTGTTTGTTGGGTGGCTGGGAAATTGGGGGGGTCCAGAGGTTGTGAGCATTTTGTGGCCCAAGTGGGAGGCAGGTGGACACAACATGTGTGGCTCCTCTTTCTTTCTCAACTCAGCCAGCACTGTGCCCTCTCTCCCAACCCTCTCTTGCTTTTTCCAGCCCTTTGGAGTGACCCCCACTTTCCATGACCTACAGGATCCTATCAGGGCCACCTGCTCCAGGCATTTCATGCTACAACATACACAGAAGCTCCAGGGGACCGTTGTGCTCATGCTTGCAACAGCCTAAGCCTGCTTCCCACTATAGCCTTTGTGCTGGCTGCTCCCCTTAATCCCCACGACCCTCTGGGTCTTCATGTCTTGTGCCCTGGAAGCTGTGGTACAACTTTTATGGATGTTCCTGGGGTCTCTGTCCTTCTCTCCAGATGCACCGGATCATGGATCCCAGGCCCTGGGTGGCTCCCAGAGGCGTCAGAGGATGGACCCAAAGGCTACTGCCTCCACTATCTCTCAGTCACCTTGGAATACAAATCCTCCCAAGGGCAGGAGAGTGGTAATGTGTGGGGACTTTGGTGTGCAGTGATGGGGGTGGGGTAGGCAGTACTGGTGGTAGGGATCCTCCCTAACCGTGGTAGATGAAGAAAGGCTGGAGTGATCAGGAGCAGGGGAAGCCCCTGTGTGCCAAGCAGACAAATGAGGGCAAACAGGGAGGTGGTCTAGAGGTGTTTCAGAGTTGCTTCTTTAAACAGTATTCATGTCTAGTGAAGGAAGGCTTTAGGACACTGATTGCTATTGCAAAGATTATTGGGAAAGTACAACAAGGATGGAGACTCTCAAGTCCCACACTTCGGTGACAATACTTTTAGCTGAAGTCATGAGGCTGAAGGAAATTACAGGAAATGCTGATGATACAGCTGGAGAAGCTACTGGGGCAAGGTACCAAGGTGTGATGGGACTTCACGAACTATAGTAAGTGCTGAGATGATTCTGTCCCCAGGAAACAAGACACCATCCACCTTTCAGGTGGATGACCTCTTGTTAAGACAAATAAATTAGAACTATTGCATCGACTTCCTGTGTGCAAAGCCTGGAGCCATACCGAGCAGATCCAGTTCAGGCGCTAAGTGGAGTCATGCGACTACAGAGTTTTAAAATTAATTTTGTAACAGTATATCTTTGTAATACGTGGAAATCCCGTTCTCCCAGGGAATTGCTCCATAGAAGACATGTGTCGAGGAAGTTTTGTGTTCTCCAGTAGCTTACTTGGGCTTTCAGACGACGTCTGCAGGGGACAGGGACTCTGGTCACTGCTTTTCCCTCACAATAGCCTGCAAGGGCAGGGCCCACCAAGGATCAGGGCAAGGGTGGGGCAGTGGGGAATGGCATACCCATGGGGTCCCAGGCTTTTCCAGTGGCCTTAAGCTGCCAGCCCTTGATGCCAGAGGGCCAGGCACCATGTGTCTGGGGTGCGCTGTGGGGGCCAAGCAGCTGGCTTGGATTGCTTCTTCCTTTGCTGTAGGAGCACCAGCGGCAGGCGCCCAGGATGTCCAGAGAGCCGGGCCATGAGGCTGCAGCCTCCCAGGAGTATCCTGGCAGCTTCCAGGGCCATCCTGACCAGTAAGAGCCTGAGCACCTTGAGGTTTGGCTGGCTGGGCAGGTGGGCTGTCAAGCATCTTGTTCGGAAGGAGCCCCTTCCTTCCTTGGGCCTGTGGAGCTTTGGACGCGTTGCCTCCTAGCCACTCGGGGCCTCCAGGTGTTCTGTGGCAAGCTTGACCTGGCTGCTTACTGCTCTTCTGCCTCAGTCCCTCTTTACCAAGGACAGGAGAGGCCCCAGGCTGGCAGATGCACAGACAAGCCCCTGGTCTTCCTTTGCTTGCCCATGTGGCTTCGCGCACCGGGCTCTGCCTGGGGCCACCTGCAGCTCTGATCCTTTCTTTGCCCCAAGGACCCCGGGGATTGATCTGCTGGCAGAGGTTGGCCTGGAAGAGCTCAATGAACTGGAGCTGGAAATCATACGAAGACAGGTGAGCATGCGGGGGCAGAGACGGCACCTCGAGCTGAGTCTGCAGAGCATGTGGTGTCTGCGATGGGGTCATGCTCATGGCTCTGGTGCCCCCTCGATGCCTGCCTGCCTTCTATCCTTCCTCTGTCTATGACATGCTGGAAGGAACTCAGTCCCAAGCCAAAGAGTCCCTTTGTTCCTGTGCCACTCCTGTCCCCTGCAGCAGCCAGGGTGGGCTGGAATAACACTGGACAGGGGTGCAGAAGTCCCTAGAAGGATTCCCAGACCTTTGTCCCACTGCACCCATACAAGGGCCACTGTGGCCCTCTAAAGGACAGCAAAGCCTTCCTTGTTGTAGCGTCCTGAGCCCTGGGCCCCCAGGAAGAGCTCTGCCCCCAGTCCTGACTCTAGTCCTTCTGCAGCTGGTGGTGGTCACAGAGCGCCTGTGTGCACTGGAGGATCAGGATGCCACCTGGCGCTTGAAGGAGGCGGTGTTCTTCACTATGATGCTGTCGGCTTGCATCGCCAACCTGTGGCTGTGGATGCGCCAGTGACGCTGAGGCCCCCACCGTCCTGAGCCCTCTCACCCTCCCTTGCCTCTGCCCTTTGCATACCCACACCCAGGCAGGGGCAATGGGCCATTTTCCAACTCTGCTCAGCTTGCAAGGAGGCTGGTGGCTCAGAGGTGTTTTGGAGAGAGAGAACAGCAGCACCTCGCCCTACAGTGACATGAGTGGCAGGCCACAGTGGTCCCAGCTTCCCTTCTGCTCCATCTCCTGCTTTCGTTTTGGCTCCCTTTGCCCATTTGCTTACACACTGTGCACAGGGCTCTGCATATGTTCAATAAAAGTTAAGTGACGGCATTGAAAGCTGGTGGCTGAGGCTCACCGAGAGCGGTGGGGCTCAGAGCACCGGGGGCGGGGGAGGTGTGCTCAGGTAACCCTATCGGCCCTAGAGCTGTGCTGCCCATTTTCCTCACGGTCCACACCCTCACGGGCCCCAGCCCAGGCAGAGGGCTTTCTTGTTAGCTTCTCACCAATGACTGCCCGTGGGGATACAGTTCTGCAGGGTGCAGAAGTCCCTAGAAGGATTCAGTGAGCAGACCCAGGAGTTGCTGCACTCATGCAGGAGGACACTGAGTTCCAGAGACGGGGAAATCGTGCCCTGGAAGTTGTCTAGCAAGACAGCCACAGGGCAGGGGCTGGGCTGGGGAATCCTGAATCCTAGCCTAGGGAGTGGCCTGCCTCCTGCAGATGCTGGCTGGGAGGTCCTGACGTAGATCTGGAGGCAGAGTACCCCCGACTGGGGCCACAGCCCCATGAAGCGCACCTCAGGCAAGCCAACTGCAGGGTCAGAGTGTCAGGCAGGCCTCTGGAGACCTGCGGAAGAGCTGCTGTGGCTTTTCCTGGGGTCGCACGTTAATCACTTGCCTGGCACTGGGAAGTAATGTGTAATACAAATCAAAGGAGCCTCATTTGGGCTCAAAGGTTCCCTTCGGCTCAGCCCATGTTGGCTGGCTCTGGGTACATGGTGCAGGAGGGGGACAGAGGACAGCTGCTTACCCCATGGTAGCCAGGAAGAGGACCAACAAAGGGGTTGGGGTGAAGAAGTCACGCTCCCAGGTGACACCCAGTGACCACCTCTACCTGGGTCCCACTTCTTGAGTGCACAAGCAGCTCTGAGCTCATTCCTGGATGGACCCCCACTGAGGACAGCACCCCATGCTCCAAATCACCTCCTGAACACAGCAGACCTTGGGGGGCATGTTTTAGATCTAAACTGTAACAGGTGGGAACCTGAAGCCTTCTTATTGGCTTTGTGGTTAAGCATTTTCCTGTCTCCCAGATTTGCCAAGACTCCTTCATCTATAAGGCAGGAGTGTGATGTGTCACTAGATATGAAACGAACAGAAAGAGAGGAAAAGGGAGACAGGGGTGGGAGGAGGAAGAGAGAGGGAGGGAGAGCGACAGAGAAGGAGAAGGAGAAGGAGAAGGAAAGACAAAGAAGCAACCCAGGACGCAGCGGGTGAGAAGAGGCTTGAGGCCAGCACCTGCTCAGCAGTGCCCTGCCTCACTGGTACTCAGCTGAACCCTGTACCCTCCATTCCAGACACTCTGGGGACTGCAGTCCCTCTGGGACAAGATGCAGGTCCCCCTGTCAGACCTGAGGGGCACCATGCCTGTGCCCCAGAGCCTCTGCCTGGCAGAAGTTGAAAGGAGGACTCTGAGTGGACATGGGGCTATCCAGCTCCAGATCAGAAAAGGCAGGGGGCCGCCAGCAGAAGCCCCTTTGGAGAATAGGGAGCTGGCAGCACATAGGCAGCAGAGGGCCTGGAGCATTGCAGCCCCTCCAGATGCGCCCCTGAGACCCAGAATCCCAGGAGGCCCAGAAGCAAGCATGGGGACTCTTTTAGCAGAGCAGCCCCCCACTCTCTGCAGCCTTGAGGAAGGCCAGGGCCCAAGAGGCAGAGAGGCCCTAGAGGTCAGAAGGCTGCAGCTGGGCAGGGCCAGCTCATGTCACTGGGGCCCTGATATGGAGTGTGGCTATGCAGACACGGCCACGGCCATGGTTGCGGAAAAAGTCTGCTTGCAAATATGTTGTGAAACAAAGGTTCCCCCAGGAGCAATTTAGCTGAGTTGCAAACAAACAACAGCACGCCCCTGGAGGAACAGCTTGCAGCTGGAGCTGGGGAGCCTACCCGGCCTCTGGCTGCTGGGCTCGCTAGGCCTCAGAGACTCCCGAAGGAAACTCCTGGCCAGGTTACGTCCCTCCGGCCTTTAGTGCACGCTTTCTGCAGAAGCTCCATTCCCACCAAACGAAGTCAATTCTTTTTTTTTTTTCCAGTACTGGGGATCATACTCAGAACCTGTGCTTCCCAGGCAGGCACTTATGCCGTTGAGCTATATCCCTGGCCCCTACAGGAAGTCAAGTCTGACCACCACATTCTATGGTGCTTGTACTTCATGTCCTGCACATTGTATTTCAGCATTTCTTAATTATGTGTGTTATATATAGTACAGTCTCCTAAAAGCAGGCAAACATTAGCTAACATCCCCCCCCCCATGTCAATCCCCTGCACAGAGATAGCTCCACGCTTGGCACACTGCATGTCCCTGCAAATCTTAAGTCTCATAGGCAGATTGCCTGTACCTGCCTGCGCCCCTGGCTTTGGGCGCCAGATGCCATTTAAGCCTTCCTGCACAGCCCAAAGGGAGGCGCTCAACAGCAAAACCCACTGTGCAGCTGCACAAAGTGTGAGCCCAAGTCACACCCTGTTCTGCCTGTCTGGCTTGTGGTCTCCACCAGCCGAGGGCAGAAGTTGAAACTTAGTATCCCAGCGCTCCTGTGTCCCTACAGCTTTCTTACAGCTAGCTGGAGAAGGCAGACAGTGGACAGGGCCTGTGAGAACAGGACAGGATGTGTGGGAGGGGCTCTGGTGTATCCAGGGACAGCCTGAAATCCTGGCTTCTTGAAAGATATCAAAGGCCTGCTGTCCTGGGGCCCTTGATTGCTTCCCTTCCCCAGCCCAGCCCCTCTTGGAGGCTGAGTTCTAGGTCCCTTCAGGGAGAGAATGGATTCTCCTCAGTCCAGCCGTAACCCTCGCTACTCTTGTCTCTCCCTTGGCTTCTGGTCAGGTGGGCTGGCTGGGGCTGCCGCAGCACCTCAGGGTAGGTGTATGGTGGCTGTGTGTGAGCTGCCGTTCTCCAAGTACAAAGCCCTGAGCACATTTAGGAGAGGGAGTGTCCCCTGGGGAGCCTGGGAGGGGCCAGCTGCTGGGTCTAGGCTTTCAAGCAGCGTCCACAGCAGGCAGCCAGCATCCAGCCCTTGCTGCCGTTGCCCTCTGACAGCCCCTGGTGTGCAAGGCCCCCTGGTGGGACAGCTTTTTGAGGGGCAGGAGACACCCTTGGGCCATCTTGAGCTCACCTAGGTTGTGGGCTTGAGCTGCTCTGGGCCTTTGTTGGCCTCCACTGCTGGTGTCCAGCTCGGTAGCACAGCCCCCTGACTGCGAGGCTGCTAGCTGCCCCACTGGCCCTGGGCAGGAGAACAGGAGGTCTCTTTTGGCTTCAGGAGCTCATGACCCTTCAAGGGCAAGCGTCTGACTGGAGGCAGTGTGGATGGACCATCGGATGTTGACTGAAGCCATCTGACTGGTGAGGGAAGGGGCTGGCATGGAGCTGACACCCTCCTGTGGCCTCAGGCTGGAGCCTCCAGAGGGTGAGGGCTGGAGCCTCAGGAAGTGTGTGGGCCCCAGGAGGGGGTTGGCATGGGCCCTTGTGTGGATAGCCCGTCCAAGGGCTGAGGGAAGCGGCTGTTCGGGGTAACTGTCCCCTGTCAGAGTAATGAAATGAAATCCGGTGGGCTTCAGGAGTGCACTCAGGCCTGTCCAGAGGCACTTGAGCCTTCCTCACCTCTAGGAAGATGAGGGGGAGGGGGTGGAGAGGGCTTGGAGCAGAAGGCTTGAGGGGCTGCCTGGTCAGGCCTGGTCCACAGGGAAGCTGGGGAGCTGTCTGGGTTTTGCCCTGCACCTGCTTCCTGCCTGCCCTCCTGGAGCCCAGCCTTAGCCATGGGGTGTGCAGCCCGTAGCTCCTCTGCTCTCTCCAGGGGAAGAAGCCCCAGGGTGGGGCAGCCTGCAGGCTTTGTGCTGCTTCTTCCAGAAACCCTGCTGGCTTTGAAGCGGTTGCTTTTCACTCTTGGAAGACTTCCTGGCCTCTTCAGGAAGCCCTAGAGGGGGGCAGCTTTGGGCAAACCATTTTGGCAGTGAAGTCCTGGGAGCATCTGGCTGAGGGAAGCTTCAGGCACCTCCACCTCCACCCTCCAGGCCCGGCAGGTGCTCTGGAGAGCAGCATGGACAGGCCCTGTCCACACCAGACTGTAGTCACAGAGGAGTGCCTCCTCTCTAGACATCCTGCCAGTGGTAGCACGTAGGGCCCTTCCTTCTGCACAGGGGGACCCCTCTAGCTACCCCTCAGCATCCCTTGGCAGAGGGAGGAGACTGAGGGTTTGGCAAGATGGACGAAGTGCTGGAGAAAGATTTCAGCAGTACAACTGTGAGATTTGGAGATGAGGTTGATGATATCAAGAATGATGCCTCAGTTTCTTTTCTTTTCTTTTTGGTTTTTTAGTACTGGTAATTGAACCTAGAGCTTTTGTCCTGACCTAAATCACCAGTCAGTTTATTTTGAGACAGGGTTTTTCTAAGTTGTCAAATTTCCCAGGCTGAGCTCAAATTTGCAGTCCTCCTGCCTGAGCCTCCCAGGTTCCAGGACTGCAAGCATGCGCTGTCACTCACTGCTGGCTGCTTCTGGTTGCTCAGTTCTTAGTGAGCACATGTGGGCAAAGAGGTGCCTTTCTCAAGAGAAGACACTGTGGCTCCAGGAACTTGGCCAAAGGCAAAAGGTCGTGTCAATTGGGGTCTCAGAGTGGCTGCCTCCGGCAGCTAGACATAATCTATGGCTGTCTAAGACTGGAGCATTAAGGAGGAGCTTCCTAATGGGGACAGGAGAATTTAGGGGGATGAACTTAGAATTCAATGGCACACACATGGTGGGAACTCTTTGGCTTGACCTGCATTGCACTGAACCTACAGTCAGAGCAGGCTTGCTGTGCAAGAGCCTGGGCCAT